AGAAAAGGATCTTACTTTAAACCTCTGCACATATGTTAAAACAAAGCATGTGGTTGTTTTACAATTTAATTGTTTCCTGAACACATGTTTAGAACAAACATGTGATAGAGGCTGTTCAGGCCTCTTTTACAACCCGTCCGTTCCATGTCCTTTATCTGGAACGAGTTTAAGCAAGAGTTAATAAAAGATGAATCACACATTATACATCATAATAGTTCATTAGAACACAACCCATGAAACACAAACAAAGTAAGAGTATAAATAAAATATTTATGACAATTTGGTTAAGGCATATTACATGACTATGTACCTTTAAAAGTTGTAGTTTGTGCTGTTGAAAAAAACCACAGTTAAACTGGTACAACACTGTACAACAGTTATACCGTGACCATGAGTCATTGTAGTTGAGTAAATTGACAGCAGTTAAGGACATCAGAGCGTGCCCAAAGTAATGTTCTATTTTTCCACATTGGCATGCAGTTATGTTGGTACTTAGCACCCTGATGAAGACTTGCAAATTTGTCTCATTTATACATTTCTTATGTAACAAAGTGTTGTTTTTTCTTGGAGTTCTTGCAGCCAAGAGCTGCTAAGGCGTTCCAGAAAAAGACGTGTTATACCTTTATCTGGCAACATGAGCAGTAGACAGGTCGCACTTCCTTCACACCAAACTAACTGACTGTAAAAACCCTTTATCAGGCATCAAACCTTCTGGGCAGAAACCCAACTTGCTAAGTTAGACTTGAAGATATGTGAGTGAGGAAAAAGTAAGAATATTGCTTTAAAGCACAACTGAGACATGAGAGGAAATTATTTTATATGTACTGTTGTGCCTCCTCACCAGAAGGTTATGAATGTATTAAATAACTAGAACTGAATGTTAGTTAATTAATAGGTCATTCAAGTCAAGGGTAAGCTAGTTATTTATTATCAGTTTAATTATTATAACTGGAATTTGCTTTAATGACCAGGGTTTTAGCCCACTTGTCTTTCACCAGTTTAGTAATTTGGGCTATGGCCAAATTACTAAACTAAACGTTATTAATCACCAACCAACTAAATGTGTCTCTGTTTATTCTGATGTTACTGAAAGAAGAGTGAATCCAAGCTGAGTGATAAATCGTTCACTGTGTAAAATGATCACAAAAGACCACAGATTAAAAATACAATGGTACCTTTATTAGATACAATCTCAAATAATTATATCTAATAACAAAGCAAAACACTAGATACTAATGAAAATAAGCAAACTAAAGCAACAAAAGGGAAGAGCGGTTTAAGAGTCTGTTCAAAGTCTGTGTTGGTCAAAGTTTCAAGGCTTAATTCTGCAAATACGTCATGTTTTTTCATTTTGCATACATGCTTTTTTGCAGTCTTTGTAAGTAATCAGTAAAGTGGGAAAAATTGAAAAAAGGAGACGAGGGAATGCTCATCTTGCTGCTCTAAACTAGCAGTTCTGTGTCAACGTCTAAAGCTGCCGACAGCGTGAAAGTTTAAAGGGGAACACCGTTTTTTTTACATTGGGCCCTTGATTTTACGTTATTACATCATGTTCTACTCACCCATATGAGTTTTGTGTCATTTGGAGCCGTTCTGAAGATATTCCGTTAGGTTATATCCAAGTAACGTCTTCCTATGGGCAACGACTTGAAGGCATAAACTAAACTGTTCATCATTTATTCTTTATGGTA